GAGATTAGACTTGTATCCCAATGTCAGTCTTAAGTACTGTGAACCATTGAAAGAGTTTATCAATTACAGATTCACTGCATTTTTTACATTACTCCATGCATCAGTCTGGAGATATCAAAACCTATATCAATCATAACATGAAGTAAATTTTGTGTGTCCTCTAATGTGTTTACAATAAAATACTAATACAGTACAGTTAATGAGTTTTTTTTATTTTAGCAAATCTGGTGCCAATCTTAATTTAATTAGTTAACACGTAATCTCATAATTGATATAATTATGGTAAACATAATGAATTATGGGATAGGATATGTTTGCTATCAAGCTAAACATTTTATCTTGCACTGTTCATATTATAAGATGCATGTAATTGTCCGCTGCTGTCTTTGCTTTCCTATGTTGTCTCATCTAAGCACTGCATGTCTTTTTTTTTATTATAACATATAGTTTTACTAACACTGTATGTCTGCGATGCCCATCAATGACTGTATAACAATGCGTCAATCAATCCAAACAATGTGGTTTCAGTAGTTTTTCAACATTTCAAATGTCACTACCAAATGTAGCTGATCAGTTTTGTTGGTCAGAATTGTATAGAATCTTGAATAATTATTTCTAAGAAGAATTAATTCTCATTTTAAACCGCTATTTTAAAGCTATTAATTTTTGTGTTTTGATTAAATGGTGTTCATAGACGGGGAATAATTTTGTGCAAGTCGCTGAGACTGCATGAACATCTTTTGGACGCCAGCAAACTTTTCACTGTTATGACACAACATCGCTAAATTTTCACTAAATCTGCAAAAAAAATTCTCCCACAAAATTGAAGCACTTTACAATATTTCCTATTTCAGGCAAGGGTTTCAGAGCGCCCTCAGTGTCACGGTTTGGAAAATTACTTATTTGTGTTGTATGAAGTAAAAATTGCAGGTACGGTACCATATTTTGACCTCCAGGGGGCGCTGTAATTGCCAGTCACACCTGTATTGGCTGATGGACATACTAGACAAACTTAATTCTCTGTAATGCTTCTGTGCATTTCTTGTCTTCATAATATTCAGTGGATTTTATCTTCATAATGCTTTTATTTTCTTTGACATGACTAATTACTACCAATGCACCTCCGAAGTTTGACTGTGTAAATCGTCTTAGTCGCTAAGATCACCCAAGGTACAGTAACTAAGCTCTTGAATAAAAAGAAAAAAATAGTGTCCATTATATATATTTCATACAAATCAGTTTTTAATGAGCAACTGCAAAGGTTGTATAAATCGTATATAATGAGTAATATTTGTTGTCCACATATCAGTAATCAAATGGCCTGTTATCAGTAGTATCTGGATAGATGGGAATATAATGCAACAAATTAGTTTTTCACCTTCTTTGCTTCACTCGCAACATGCACTGCATGCGCCATAATGCTTGTACTGTGTTCTTAGGAAAAACAGAAATCTGTCATATTTTGAGTCGAGTCAAGTGTTGTATCGTATCCTGACATCCAGAATACAGTGATGAACGCATTCCTCATTCTGTAAAACATGTTTAGCTAGCATGTTATTTTAGCTAATCTTTTATTTTGCTAATTTAAAGTACCGGTAGATAAAATTGTTGGGAATTAGCAAAATTAGGATTTTGTTAATTCTTGCATTAAGTCAAATCTGCTGAAATTGCAAGTAGCTATTTCAACATGTTTTACAGTTAGTTA